TGGGTCTATAGCCAGGGCTGTGTCAGAATTCATAGTGATTTAACAGCTTTTATGCATTTTTATAAGGTTGGAAAAATGTTCCCCGCTTCAAGTCAGCACCAGTGGTGATTTGAAGCTGCGAAGATTTGCAGATTTTTAAAAAATCATAAAAAAAGAACCGAGCCTCTGAGGCGAGTCCGGACACTTTTGTTGTGTTTCGGGCACACAGCCGCACGCGTGGATATGCGTTTTATGATCATAGGCCCTATGATTATGCTTCATGTAATTAGGTATCGTGGGTAACGCGGCAAAATTCAAATTAGCAATAAGGAATCACAACCCTTCTGAATGTGCTATCTAGACCAAATTTGGTGAGGATACTTGCCATAGGGCCTATTATGTACGCACGGAAAAAAAAATCCATTTCGACCTTTTTTTGAGCATGCTGATTTTTAAAATTATTAAATTATGCAGCATATGTGCTTTCATATCACAAAATACTTTCAAAAATTTTTCCATACAAAACTTTTGGGCTCATTGCGATCGGCTCGTCGAGACGAGAAAAACGGTATAAAATTTGTCTCGGGGGGTCGGGTTCGGGAAAAGCTGTTGAGGTTTACTTTCCTGAAAAAAGTGTGTTATGTGTCGGAACCCTGGTGGTGGGTTGCGGGATATCAAGGAGGGGCACACTGGGGCAATTTCAGTCCAGCAGGCTGGAGCCAATCATGGAGCAGCACAACAGAGGAAATCAGGTGTCAGGCTAGAAAAAGGTGCAAGTGTGTGGTTCATTAGGCTGCAGCCAATCACAGAGCAGCACACTGAAGCGCACGCTTACAAACCACTGGTAAGTGCTGACTACAAGTCATGACTTCAAATTGTTATATAGAATTATTAAAAATTATTTGTTGTTTGTGCAGCTTAGTCAAGAGTCCCTAATTGATGAAGTCGACTCAGATTCTGACGATTTAACTGTCAAGAAGAAACCTGTAAAAAAGTATGGAAAAAGAAAAATCAAAAACACTTTTCTTCAAGACTCGGAAAGTGACGAACCAAAGGCAAATAAGATTGATTATCATGATAAGATTATCATGCAGCTGCAAAAGAAGAAAAATGGGGGGCGAGTTTACAGCAAGAGACACTTCTGCCTCTACTGTTCAATGTCCTGCCACAAAATGTCCCGTCATTTGACTAGAAAACATGGAAATGAAAGTGACGTAGCCAGAGCATTGGCTCTACCTGTGAAATCTAAAGCACGTAAACTTCAGTTTGATTTGATCAGGAATAGTGGAAACCGTGAGCACAATGTTGAGGCTTTAAAGGCCGGCCAAATTCCCCAGTTAAATCCAGTGAGTTTTTGCACTGTATAGACTGTGGGGCATTGCTTAAGCGAAAGTCGCTGTGGAGGCATGTGGCCAGGTGCCGGCTTTCACAGAAAGATGCCCAGGCTAAACCAGGTAGAAGTAGGGTCCAGTCCCTCTGCTCCCTAGCCCAGCCTGTACCGGAGGGCATCAGCAAAAAGCTGTGGTCTTTAATTTCGGCAATGCATCAGGATGAGGTCACGGGTGTTGTCAAAGCAGAAAAGGGGATTCTGAGACTCGGAGAGCACCTGTACTTAAAACATGGGCATGATAAGACTAAGCATGATTACATTAGGCAGAAAATGAGAGAAGTCGGTAGGTTAATTAACGAAGCAAAAACCGCAGGGAAACTGAAAACAATGAAGGATTTCTTTATTCCTTCCAACTTTAACCATGTGATTGATGCAGTCAGGTCTGTGGCTGGATATGATGAGGAAACAAATCAATACAAGACTCCATCCTTGGCCCTCAAACTCGGCCATAGCCTCAGAAAGCTAGCAGATATTCTTGAATGTGACTCAAAAATGGAGCATTGTGTTGATGAACTATTTATTAAAAACCTCCAACGAAGCCGGCTGCTTTTTGAGAAGAGGTGGGACGTCTGTGTTTCTTCTGCTGCCCTACAGACCCTCCGGCAAGCCAAGTGGAACACTCCGGACCTGCTCCCTCTGACTGAGGACGTTAGAGCCATGCATGCACATATTGAGGTATGTCGACCTGAATATGTGCAAACCCTAATAAGTGAGCCAACGTCTAAGCATTGGTCTAAACTGGCAGTTTTGACTCTTTGTGAGGTCATTATTTTCAATCGAAGAAGGGAAGGTGAGGTTTCAAAGATGCCACTGACAGCCTTTACCTTAAGAAGTAAGACTGGGATCCATTCTGACATTGCTCTGGGACTGTCCCAACTTGAGAAAAAGCTGTGTCAGCATTTTCAACGCATTGAAATTAAAGGGAAAAGAAGTGGGAAAGTGGTGGTTCTTTTGACTCCTGAAATGATTGCTTCGATGGAGGTGCTGGTGGAGAACAGAAGGGCCTGTTCCATCTTTGACCATAACCCATACTTCTTCTCCCGCCCGGGCGCAGACACCCACATCAGGGGATCAGACTCCCTACGCCAGGTAGCCAAAGAATGTGGTGCGGTGCATCCAGAGATGCTATCCTCAACCAAACTTAGAAAGCACATAGCTACTATGTCTACAGTTCTCAATATGAAAGAGAATGAAATGGACATACTAGCCAACTTCCTCGGCCATGACATTCGCATCCACAGACAATATTACAGACTACCAGAGGGGACACTGGAGCTGGCCAAAATCAGCAAAGTGTTGATGGCCATGGAGCAGGGAAGAGTGACGGAATTCAAAGGAAAGAGCCTCGACCAGATACAAATTGAGCCTGAAGGTAATTCTTGATATTATTAAAATATGTATGATTTTTTTCCCCTAAAGGCCACTTGTATTTTTATTTTCTGTGCGACAGAGAGAGCAGTAGAGATCTCACAAACGGACGGGCTAAAAGAAACTTCAAGCGGAGAACCTTCAACCATTCATCCAGATGCACCCCATGGTAATGGCAGTGCCCCTTCTGGTAAGTGTACCAGGTGGGGGATTACAGCCAGGCTGCTTGGTCCTAACCCTGGGAGTGTATATTGCTAATATATTTTTATTTCTCTCCCTAGAACGTTAGAGAAAGCCATGGTCTGCATCTGAGGTGAAGGCTGTGGAGAAGACCATGACGCCTTTCATACAGACTGGAAAAGTCCCTGGGAAGTCTCACTGCCTGGCCTGCATTAATGCCTCACCAGATGACCTTAGACATCGGACATGGAGTGGCATTAAATTCTATGTCAAAAATAGAATCACTGCAATTCGAAAAAAAAATCTAAAATAAAATTCCTTTAAAAGAGTTGTTTGTATTTCTATTGACTGTTTTGTATTACTTAAAGTAGTCCCAGTAACAAAAGATTATGTCTATGGGTCCCATTCTGAACGGCCCTGTCAAAGGGACCCACCAGGTAACAAAAACGTGTATGTGTGTGTGTGTGTGTGTGGTGAAGTTTAGCGGTGGTCAGACGCACACAATGAGGTGAAGATGTCAAAGATGTTCCAAGGGGCTAAGTGGCTGCAGGTCTTCATTCCAACCAAGAAGACTCACCAATATCCAGTACAGTACACAGATAAAAGTAAATCTTGTGCTCTGTTCTTAAACGTTTTAATTATTGTCATCCACATTGAATCTGAGATGATTCATTCTGTCTGAGCCATGTGTTTATTCACACATTTGTAAAGTAAAGACTGGATTTCTGAACACAGCTGCAGGATCAGCTCCTGTTTTATATTTGATAACAGCTCAAACTGCCGTCACGCTGTCAGGACTCTGTAGAGATTTGTTCTCGCTCCATCGGCCGTTTACTGCGTTATGCTTTTGTTTTGGTGAGATGCAGTGACAAACGGTGTCTATAAAACTCTGCAAACACAAACATGTTTCATGTTTCTGAGCAGAGACTGGGAACCAGCGACAACCAGGTAGTTAGTGTGAGCGACCGCCTTTAATAAACAAATACTACTTTGATTCACGCAGTAAGTTAGGGACCGACATACGACTTCATTTAGTGCTGATTTGTGTATAATTTATGATTATTTATTGCTTAAAGCTGCACTAACTGACTTTGGGATTTTGAAGCCGCGGACTCGCTGGCCTCTCTCTTTCTCCTCCACTCCCCGCACCCACGAAGCTATCGCCCCCCACACACACCCACTGTTGGGACGGAGCTAGTGTCTCTCAATATGGATAATACATGGATATGGATTTGCACGTGGATGGCGTGACCATAAAACGATAGAACTGGGAAGCGCGGAGGAACGAGACTTTCTTTTGGATGGCTGTCTCGCTGTGTAAGCAGTAACCGGTGACGAAGACGAGGAAGTTTCACGTTAGCTCCGCCGCTTGTTGTGCTAACTCAGCCGTCTATGCTAACGGACCTGTAGATTTCTCACGAAAGTGGGGGCTAGTGGTGCGCTGTGATTGGTCACAATCTGCGACCCGAAACACATTCTCTTCCTTGTTTCATCAAAACTCGATCGAAAATATAATGTCACGCCAGCACAAATATGCGCTACTTTTTCTTCAAAAGGACGTATATCCCAATGCACTACATGGACATGGATAGCATTTTCATAATGAATACAAAAATAAAGTCAGTTAGTGCAGCTTTAATTGGTATTTACAAAGCACTTATTAGTCCTTATTCTTCATAACTGTCCCGTGTGGATTAGGTTTAGGGTTCACTAATTAGCTCTTCATTAGTCAGAAAAACGCAGAATACACATATATATCTATTTTTATTGTACTTCCTTGTTGGTTTCCTTATTCCATTACTTTATACACAACCTATTTCTCGAGATAGAAATAAAGATAGAACTATTTAACCTGTGACGCACGTGAAATGTATCCACTCTCTCCTGATACCAAGCGTCAGAATAAATAAACCAAACGTCACAGCTTTCCCTTTGACAGCGGTGAGAGACGAGAACATCTCTCTCTTCGTCTCACTGTGGAGAATGCGTTTTCATTTTTAGCTTTTTTTGGTATCTTTTCCTGCTGCACCTGCTGCTTCAGCATCAGCCTCAGGATCCCTTGCCAACGCTTACTTCCATCACCATGCTGCACACAGACTGCTGTCCACAGATCGCCGTCCACAGACCGCCGTCTACAGACCGCCGTCCACAGACCGCCGTCCACAGATCGCCGTCCACAGACCGCCGTCCACAGACCGCCGTCCAAAGACCGCCATCCAAAGACCGCCATCCAAAGACCGCCATCCAAAGACCGCCATCCAAAGACTGCAATCCACAAAGGAAGCTTTGCCGGTTTTTTAGACTCATAAGATGGAATCTCGTTGAACCTCTGACTGTGGCGTCCTGTGGCAGACTGTGGCTGATCCAAATCTCAAAGATACGTGTCAGAAGCCAAAGCACAGTTCAGGACCAGCAGAACGTTCTCTCGCCAGAGTCAGAGGTGGGGAGGCCAGAGAGGACGGGTGAGTGACACAATGTAATTTAGTTTCCAAACACATCCACTTTATTTCAATTCAATTCAATTTATTCTTCTATCGCCCGAAATAGCAACAGCAGTTATCTCGGAGGACTTTACAAATCTGTCAATTCGCCAACACAGATCAGAAAATCAAATAGTTCAAACACAGAAAATGCATCAAAAACAAACACATAGAGTCATTGGTCCATAAGGGACCGAGACCACTATCCTGTGGAGTGTCCTGGATCATCTCTGTCCATAGAGCTTCCTGCATCAGATGAACAACTCTAAGCCCAGTGGGAGACTAAGAAACCTCAGGGAGACCCACATTGAGGGTGGGATCCACTCCCACAGACAGACAGGACAGATCCAGGGCAGAGGCTGTAGATCCTTGGCCCCGGCGGCCTCAGTCCTCGGGCCTCATGCAGCAGAGAGAGGGTTCAGGTGCAGGTGAGGATTGCTGCTGTAGCAAGCACTCTGTGGAAAACCACTTTTTTCTTCTCCAAACCTAATTATCCTTAAAGTGCCTGAGCTCCTATACCCTGGACTCAAGTGCCTTCAGCCTCTTTTCCTGCTCTGTGCTGAATCTGAATGTTGACGCTCTTGGTCATGGAAAAATTACGGAAGGACGCAAAATGTAGGAATGCAAAAATAATGATTTAATGAAGACGATGAACGGAAACGATTCAGGGAAAATGACAGATGAGGATGAACAAAGACAATGGACCAGCAACAAGGGGAAAGGAGCACAGGTACATATGATGCAACACTAACATTTGACACTGTGAGAATAAAGGATTAATCCGTGAGCTCAGTTCCAGTGTTTGCTTGCAGACTCTTGAAAACAGATGAATGATGGATTTATATAAAATTGTATTGTTGCCATGGATGGGTCTGTTTCCAGACAAAGGTTGAAATGTGTCACAATCTTCTGTCAGACAGAGGTATTGCTTCCAAGTTTCAAAATAATTGTACAAAACAGAAAATGTATTATGGTTAAGTCCAAACGTTATGCCCCCCCAGTGTCAGACGTGGTGGGGGTGTATCATGCTATAGGGGCCTCCTCTGCTGGGGGTCCTTCATGATGGAGCTGACGGTTGCTGAGGGCATGGCTCTTGTATTTCTGCAGAACATTTCTCGTGTGTATTTTTTGCTCTGGCACCATGACTCCCTGCGGTCTGCCACTGCCTGAGTCTGTGCCGTCGATGGGGGTCGGAGGACAGAGGACGATGGTGCAGACGAACAGAAGGTGGGCTGAGCAGATGGAGGCGTCTGGGGAGGGGGAAGGTCCACCGGGTCAGGGCCCGACATAGACTCAGTAAAGTTTAAGTCACAGAGAATCTTTCTGGGTGACAACTTTGGAAAGAGTCAGAAAGTTTAGAAATACATAAGAACAGTTTGTCTTAATCTTGTTAGAAACATTTCTTCTGTGTTGTTGTCAGGACAAGCCTTGGGAGTCACTGTCTGACTGTTTGGGCTGAGAGCTGGTTGGCTGATTGGTGTGGTCCTCTCTGTTTCACTTTTCTGACTGAAAAAGAGATGTACAGGTCTTCGTATCTTTATTTCTATGTCATTTTTACATGAAACGATCTTGCCATCATTGATAATGAATATGTGTATTCAATTTGCACTTGTCGATTTATCAAAATTGAAAGAAATATAAAAAAGGCTGCTGTGAAGTGGCTTTCTCTTTAATCTAAATTTAGAGCCAGAAGAAGCCGAAAAGCAGACTCTGGGCCATCTGCAGACTGCATCTGCTCCATCAATCAATCAATCAATCAACGTTTATTTGTAGAGCGCCTTTCCTACACAAGGCAACGCAAAGCGCTTCACATCCCCTATCACATCATGCATAAATCAAACACATTAAAAGCACAAGATATATTAAAAACATTAAAAATAAAATCACAAAAATTAAAAACCTTTAAGCATTAAAATCACAGATGGGACTAAAATCATAAATAGTCACAGTGCATTAAAAAGATTAAAGATAAAAACAAAGATGAAAAGATAAAATCATTCAGTTGTATATGCGCAGCTAAACAGAATTGTTTTGAGCCTAGATTTAAAAGATGCCAGAGTAGACGCCTGTCTCACATTCTCAGGAAGACTGTTCCAGACTCTAGCCGCATGAATCTGAAATGCAGTTTGCCCATGTCTAGTACCGACTCTGGGCACTAACAGGAGTCCAGTCCCTGTGCTCCTCAGAGTCCGGGTCGGTTCATATGGCACAAACATGTCATGGATGTACCTTGGCGCGAGACCATGGAGAGACTTGTACACAAGTAAAGCTGCTTTGAAGTCTATTCTCTGAGGAACAGGAAGCCAGTGCAGAGACCTGAGAACTGGACTAATGTGGTCGTACTTCCTAGTTCTGGTCAGGACTCGAGCTGCTGCATGTTGAATGTACTGCAGCTGTTTTACAACCTGTTTGGACAGACCTGTGAGCAGGCCATTGCAATAGTCTAACCGACTGGAGACAAAAGCGTGTATAAGAGTCTCCAAGTCTGCCTTAGACACTATGTTTTTAATTTTAGCAATGTTTTTTAGGTGGTAATAAGCTGCTGATGTTACAGATTTTATGTGGCTTTTGAAATTTAAGTCTGAGTCCATTATCACTCCTAGATTTCTGACCTGATTTGAGGGTTGTAGAGAGAGAGCCTGGAGGTGACAAATAACGCTCTCTCTTTGTTTCTGGGGTCCGAAAACAATTATTTCAGTTTTGTCGGTGTTTAGTTGGAGAAAGTTATTTTGCATCAATCACCGATTTGCTGGACACAGTGAAGGAGCGAGTCCACTGGTTCATGCTCTCCTGCTGTCAGGGACACATAGACCTGAGTATCGTCAGCGTAATTGTGATAAGAGACATTATTACTGTGAATCAACTGACCTAGAGGCAACATGTAAATATTAAACAGAAGAGGACCCAGGATTGACCCCTGTGGCACTCCGCAGGTCAGGGCCAAGTGGTCTGAGGTACAGTTTTCGATCTCCACAAAAAACTTTCTGTCTTGTAAATAGGACCTAAACCAGCTTAGGGCGGTGCCAGCAACACCAACCCAGTCCTCAAGTCTCTGAATGAGGATGCCATGATCAATAGTGTCAAAAGCAGCACTTAAATCTAACAGAAAAAGGACTGAGACTTTTCCTGCGTCAGTGTTTAGTTTGATGTCATTTGTTACCTTTATTAGCGCGGTCTCAGTGCTGTGGTGGGGTCTAAACCCTGACTGGAACATATCATAAGCGTTATTGATTATTAAAAATTCTGTAAGTTGTTTATAGGCAACTTTTTCTAGAATTTTTCCCATGAAAGGCAGATTTGAAATGGGCCGATAATTTTTGAGTGCCAGGGCTTCCAGACTCCTCTTTTTTAGGAGGGGCCTGATGACCGCCGTTTTCAAGGCCATTGGGAATGTTCCAGATTCAAGAGACATATTAACTATTTGTGTAAGTGAAGTTAAAAGACTGCTCAGAACTGACTTGAGAAATCTAGGAGGTAATACATCCAGGCTGCATGTGGAGGAACTCAGACTAGTGATTATCTCCTGGACAGTTTCAATTTGTACTGGTGTAAAGTGCGTCAGCCCAAAAAGCCTCACTGGCGGTTGGATTATTATTTCTATCGTGGAGGTGATGGCGTTTTTGATACCTTGGACTTTGTCATTAAAGAACTGAGCAAACTCATTACATTTAGATTTGGAAGTAAGTTCTGATGGCATCTTAACAGGGGGATTCGTCAATCTATTTACTGTTGAAAACAGAACACGTAGATTGTTGCTACAGCCTTCAATAGTTTCAGAAAAGTACATTTCCCTCGTTCTACGTAGTTCCCTGTTAAAATTGCACAACGCATCTTTGAAGATCTCATGGTCAACTTTGAGATTTGACTTTCGCCACTTCCGCTCGGCCTTCCGGCACTCTCTCTTCTGTGCCCTGACCAAGTCTGCTTTAGTCCATGGCGCTTTTTGCTTGTTTGTAACTATTTTAACCTTTACAGGAGCAATTGTATCCAGAACATTCAAAACAGTGGTGGTGACAGAATCAAGTAATTCATCTACAGTAACACACAACGTGTTCTCAAAGTTTACCCTCCCCATGAACAGTTCGCCTGTATTATCATTTATGTGTCTTCTTCTAACAACCGAAGATTCAGCTGGTGGTTTACAATCAAGACACATGTCAAAAAATACACAGAAATGATCAGACAGAGCAACATTGACCACATTTACATTTGAAAAATTAACCCCCTTGGTAATTAACAGATCGAGAGTGTGTCCTCTGCTGTGGGTGGGGCCACTCACATGCTGAGTGAGACCAAAGGTTTCCAGCACAGAGCTCAGCTCTATTGCATATCTATCATTAGCATTATCTACATGTATATTGAAATCACCTACAATGACCAAACCATCAAAATCTGTGCACACAACTGAAAGCAACTCAGTGAAATGATCAGTGAAACTATGGCATGACTGTGGCGGCTTGTACACAACAATAATAAGAATGGAAGAAGATTTCTTTTGTTCTATTTTAAAAGAAACATACTCAAATGATGAAAATTTCCCAAGAGACACTCTATGGGAGACAATACGATCTTTAAAAACTGCTGCTATGCCCCCCCCCCCTTTTATTTTCTCGTGTTTCATGTTCAAATTTGAAATTTGGTGGTGAGGCTTCTATTAAAACTGCATCTCCTGTATTATGGTCAAGCCATGTTTCAGTCATAAACATAAAATCAAGATCATACGAACAGATAAAATTATTAATTAAAAATGATTTGTTGCATAGTGATCTGACATTAAGTAGAGCAAGGTTAAAATTAATATCAGTGTCAATGGGTTTAGTTGATTGATTACAAAGAACTGGAATTAGATTTCCAGAGTTGGACCGTCTAACTGCTGTCCTTCTTTTAAATTTGTGTTTATTCAAGTTAAAACACATTTCTGAGCTGGTGCGAGAAACACACACAGTCTCTATTGGTTTAAAAAGTGAACTCTGTTGTACTTTGTTAAGTTCCAGATGCATAACTGAGTCAGCACAGTTCAGTGGCAGGACTGTCGTTACACTGCCAGACTGACAGGGGTCAGTGTTTGCACCACAGTACTCACCCGGTGCTGGTAAGGAGGAGGAGGAGGGGGGTAGTGGGGGCCGAGAAGCCTCGGATGTAAACAGTCACGCCCCCCTCGGGGAGCACTGAACAACATGGCGTAGGAAGTCCGTCAACAAACTGGTGCCGTATCTGTTCGGGTGCAGACCGTCTGGACGATAGGCCACGTGACGCTTCCAGAACAGGCCAAAGTTGTTCACAAAAATAAAGTTAAAAGTGCTGCATGTAGACTGGAGCCACATGTTGAGCGCCACAACGCGACTGTACAAGCAGTCTCCCCGGTTTACAGTCGGGACTGGACCAGAGATAAAAACACACAACCCGAAGGACTGGAGGAGGCGGAATAGATCCATAAAATGCTTCTTTGTGACCTCGGACTGCTGCAGCTTCATGTCGTTGATCCCCACATGCACGATTACCTTTGAAATGGTATCAGGCAGGGACTGAAGCAGAGGAGGGAGACGGATGAGCAGGTCTGGTACAGTGGCTCCGGTAATGCAGTGAGTGACCGCGTTAAAAAAGCGGACGTGTCTCACGATGGAATCTCCAACAATCAAAGTAGTCGGGGCGAAGAGTGGACGTAGCCGCGGAGAGGGCGCTCGGTGTCCATGGCCAGAACCAGCGGGCTCATCCAGGGATGGGTCCGAACCAGGGCGCTGCTGAACACATGGAGGGGAGCGGGGGTGTTGATTCCCAGCTCCGGGCAACCCACGCTGTGTGCTCGGGGACGCTGGAGCAGCGTGAGGAGCAGGCTCGGGTCGCTGCTGCTGACCCGGTGAAGGTTAGTGGTGGTGATGCACTGGGGTCAGAGAAGGGGAATGACCACTCTTTCGTCTGAGGACAGCTTCCTTTAAGAGTGTCTTTCTCGCAGTGGACCTGGATCCACGGACAGCAGTAGAGTTTGCTGCAGAGTCCAGGGGTTCTGCTGAGGGGGCTGGAATGTCAGCGGGAGAGGGCTGCATAGCGGTTTGAAAGGCTCAGGACATGGGCCACGGCGCTGGATGGCTCCTCGCAGTCCGCAGGCTCTTTATTCCGAACCGGGCACTTAGGTGTAGAACAAGAGGGCCCAGAGCTGACAGATCTCTCCCACACGACAGTGTCACAGTATGCAGCGCTCAGTGACATAAGCCGTGAGTGCTGCCCGCCAGCGACATCAAAAAGTTTGGACACGAGTGACTGTTTATCCTGCAGCTCTGCAGTGAGGCGA